GGCAAAAATTGATATAGTTAAAACAAAAAGGAAATTGTTTTGTTCTAAAGGTAAATAAAGACATTCCATCCCATTTGTTTATATTTGATCTGCCCTCGCCTTCAACTGGACGGTGAAAGTCCAGGCTATGGTAAGAGAGTTACGCTATTTTGTAGATAAGGGAATTGTCTATGCGTCGCTTCGACAAAGTTCGATGAATACCGCGATACTTCATGTACAGGTGAAAATAATCCAGTGTTGAAGAACTTTGTAATCCTTTTTTGCTAGGGTAAAAAGAATGAAATATTAGCGGTTTAGTCGTTGATTGTGACTGAATCTACTTTCATTTTTCAAGTTCAAAACGAGAAACTTTTGGAATATATGGGTTTAACTACGAGAATCTACATACAGAAATAACAAGTCATGAAAATACTCAAGATCAAGTTTGAACAAATGTCGAAATAAATATTTCTCGGTAACTCGAAAATCMCATCCACTCACGTAGGAAATGCTCTACTTTCMAACACGAAATTGATCCTTACGCATGCGCATCCAAKTACATTATGGACTAGTTTGTAATTTGCATTTCACTGTTTRAATGGCCACAGTAAAGACGAGTGGAGGACAGGGTATCAGTAKAATTAATCTAATTGAGAAATGAACCAAAMTAMGAYCAYATCAATCCTAGTTTCAGTGTGTGTTTGATTCACCGAAYCGCAAACAATATTTTATTTTACAACCCCTATGAAGAACGATCASAAGACTGGGGAAAAAAACAAAGATGKCGCCTATGATACTATAAGCTTTCTTTAGAAAACTTTTTAGAAATTCGGTTTTAAGGAATTCAATTTTTAGAGAAAATGTATAATCCTATCAGCCCTTTTTCCACACAACACCTTTTACGTTGATCTCTCAGTTGTTTTTTCTCGCCATGTATTCYTGAAGGCATCTATCGTCTGGTCTAAACTGCTCTTCGCCGTTTGAGCAAGCTATCTTCGTTCTCAAAAGAAGTTTGCTTGTTCCTTGATATTTCTCTAGTTCGGCATCCTCGACTTGTAACAGGTGCTTTCACCGTACTTTTGAAGTATTCATCTTTAGAGTCAGCTGCCGAATCCATTCAAACCATGGACATTTGTTTTTAGATGAAAAATGCAGACAGAGGAGGGCAAATATAAGATCATCAAAACCATTAACGCTCCGGTTGCTTGGTTACTCTTTAAAAGCTCGGATCGTGACGTCATGGCCTCCTGAGGTACCAGACCTCGCTCGGCCAAAGAGATTAGCCGAAATAGGAACATTGAA